TTCGCTCGGGCCTTCGGGCATCGGGTGCCAGCCACACCTCCCAAGGTTGGGGTGTGACAAAAGAATAGATAGAGCATCAAATTCTTTATATACTCCTGTGTTTTCAGTATCACTTTGTAACCTCTTTATACAATGTAAAGAGATTCTTTGCAAATGAATTTGAATACTATTTTGAGCCATTTTCATTCCATTATATTTAGTGGTGCAACTCTACCTTCTTTTTTCTTTAGCATTTTAACAATTCAGTGAATTCATCTCCTTCTGGCTTCTGTTGCATTAGGCTATGTTGTACGAAGCGTTTATTTAAGCTATTTCTAGCATTCCAGGAGCGTTACAATGACATTCACAGAGTCATGAACCAACATGCTCAAATTCCCTATAATGCAGTAACACATGATCAAGACATTATGTTCTATCAAAGATTTTTCATGTACCTGTGCTACCAATACATGATGCAATAGTTGCATGGCTTCAAAAATGTTTAGTTATTCACAAACTAGAGAAATGATTAAAACAGAACAAGTAAAAGCAAAATCAGAGAACAAAACAATGTAGAAAAGGCAACCAGGTTTTGGTGAGCAAGGTTGGGTAAGTAGGGATAAGTATCTGGTGGTGGTAACATGCATTCATCACCATTAAAGTATACTTTTCTTGGAAATGCCCATCCTTGCTTAAATGTAAATGTATCTTTGTCCTTCTGCAGAAGCACTTCTGATTGAACATTTCCAGATGGCCCTGCTTCCATAAGTAGGTCATTATAGAACTTCATACCGTAGAACATTCCTGTGTCATCTGCATAGTGAAGTTTTACACAAGATCAATGTACATGTTTCTAATTTCACGTATGATCATTGAACTTTATCTACTACAGTAATGTTATAAATCTATATCTTGTTAGTTACTGAATTTTCATGCAATATAACAGTATGATTATGAAACTTTATTCGTTATAACAGTAAAGTCACAAACTTTCTTCTGTCACATTAAAGCAACTTAATTTTATCCACTGTAATAGTAAAGTCACTAAACTTTACATGCTATATCGGCAAAACTACCCATCAAGGTGTAAATTGGTAAAAGTTTTGTGATTTTGATGTGACAAAAATGGTATTGTGATTATACTATTATAGAGGGTGAAGTTTGGTGATATTATGTGACAGTAATTTCGTGGCCTTACTGTTATAGTAGGTAAAGTCCAGTGGCCATATGTAATATCAAAATTTGCATCTATAGAGTATTTCAGGGAGTTCATGGACTTACTTATTGATTGATATGGAACGAGAGGCTTGTAATCGAAGCTAAAAACTTGTGTAACATTGTTAAGATTTGGATGTTGAGCAACAAGAGTCCACTGTGTGTGATTGACCCTGTAATTGAAGTTGGTAATAGTAATCTTGACTCTCCAATAGTCCTTGTAGTTGAGCTTTACATGCCAATGCACTCTAACAGGGCACATATGGTGTGTGCATTGTAGTAATGGTGAATTGTCTTTCCTTGGAGTGTTTATTCCCACCACACTCAGTAGTTTAGAGTCACTCCTGTGTGTTACAAGAACATAAGTAATGTTGATTTATATACAATGATAATGGTGTATTTTAACATGTCGTATAAGTTTACATGTCTCATTTTCAGGCTACTGATCTCGCTTATTATGAACAATTACCTATAATTATCTTTTAGGCAATCTGATAGCGTAATTAGTGTATAGAAGTTAAATTCAATCAAATATATATGCTCTTTTCATGCATGTGAGATTGATGTACAAAAAGATAAACTTACTTGATGCATTTGTGTTTATTCTCACAACCGCAAGCACAAGAAGGACAAGGAGTGATGGTTTCATTGTAGAAAGTTGAGAGGGAGACACAGCAAGTTGGGTGTTTTTGGGCTATAAACTGGGAGTATGTGCATGTCACATTCCATGTCACTGTAGAAAACAGGAGTATTAGCTGATTACAAGAAAATGATCTTCAACATAATTTCCAAAAAATTAATGATTTTCAAGCACCCTTTTACAATCACAAGGTCTAAGATGCCTTATTTTCTGAAAGTGTTTTCCTAGGAAAATGACTTTTCCTTCATACCAACACCTAAAAATGACTCCGGTTATACCAAAAGTAGAATAAGCAAAACCAGAACCAAGTCTATTTGATGAACGAGACTTACTCAGAGCCTGAGTTTTCCTTCTAAGATCAGGTGTGAAGAATTTGGTAGAAGGGACAATTTTTGCAGGGCCACAAGTGTAGCCAGGTCCAGGGCCAAGCAAAGTGAAGTTCTTGGGAAGTTTAACTGTCTTGTTTGAAGTACCAGCTTGGCCAACACTAACTTGAAAAGCTGAGACAGAAGCTTGCGGATCTTGGCCCCATGAAGCCAAAACTCCACCTGGAAAATACACAAGAGAAGGGTGAATTGTGACCCTTTTAAAATTCTTAATCTACTTTAAATTCGACTTAATATGTATCGTCAGTCAATCACTCTAAAGAACTACATCCAGTTCGCTTGGATTACAAAGGAGTTATACTTGGAGGTTCTTGAATTTCATATTTAGTACAACTTTTGATGATTTTATATTTTTGAAGAATTACCTTTGATTTTATATTTTATATTTTTGAAGAATTTCGGAAACAACTTCTCTGACTTCACAAGATAGGAGTAAGGTCTACGTACAAATTATCCTCCCCAGACCCCACCTATGAGATTACACTGGGTTTATTGTTATTGTTGTATATTTTTGAAAAATTAACCAAAATATCCATCCACCCAACCNACCAGCTAGAAAAAGTAAACAATAAATCCGACCTGATATTTTTGGTATTAAATTTCTTGTTTTCAATCATTAAAATCTTGAGGCTAGCATACCTTTGCAGCAATTGGTGAATTGTTGGTTGTAAGGAACCCCTGGGAGCATATCTACAGTAGTGGGAGTCTTCTTGCAACAATGTGGAACATTGCCTTTGAACTTGGAGCAATCACCTTGTTCTGTGGTTTGTGCACCTACCATAGTCCAAATCACTTCTTTCTTTGCCCATGTCCATCCCAATGTCCAGCCAGGGGTCATGATATGCCGGTACATTTGGAAATTGTTTATCGTTACAACAGCCTAGGAGCAAAAGACAGATTCAGAATTTAGAGTTGATAGATCGAATCTTTTAAACTACACAAGTTAATTAATAATTAACCTACTATCACAAGTTAAACTACACTTATAATTGTGAAAAATATTTATATAATCACAGCATATTATAACTTAGATCCAAATATAACTTTTGGTAACTTCCCACAAAAAAAAAAAAATAGGATTAATAACTTGGAAAATGAGCACACTGTCAGTGTATGTAAATTAAATATCATATGCTAGGTACTCACATGCAAGAATAAATAACTATGAGAATTATAAGAATTTCCTTTTCCTTTCACTTTTTTTTTTTCCTTTTTTTTTTCAATAGAGAACTCAATATTTAGGGAAAATGAATGGGGAGAGATTATAATTTACTATTATCACAATGTTAATATATAAGGTGGTGAAAGAAACAAGAGAGAATTAGGGAAGGATATTAACTTACAACATAGCCATCAGGAGTCCAAGACATTACATCCCATTTAATGGTGATATTCCCATTGGGATCCAATGGATCATAAGCAGCTGCAAAATTACACATACTAGTCTGAGAATACACGACAACGACAACAACAACAACAAAAGATGAATACAAATTGAGTATGTGAAAACTGCATCTTTACCTCCATAAGAAAAAAACACAAACAAGAAGCCAACTAGAGTGATCAAATAAGTCCCCATATTTTTCCTTAGAGAATAGGTCTCAAAGATCTTCAATAAAACATGGAATTACGAGTCTATGAGAAATTAATATGGTGTTGTTATTTACCAACTGGTTGTTGCTACTCAAAAAAAAAAAAAAACCCCTATATAGAGTT